TTTCTTTCTGAGCACATACATAATTCAAAAACTGTCACCAGAACTCAGCACTAGGTTTCCCCGGAATTCATTTTAGGATGAAAAAGGAAGGAACACTTAGTAAAGGCTGGCATCCCAGGATTCTTCTGTATTTATCATGCTCACTTAACAATGATCCCCATACCTGCTCAACTAAGAATCAACATTGTCTTGAGTCCCCATGAAAGGAAAGTTGACAAGGTTTGGTGATGCGCGCATATGCGTGAAAATTCTAATGTGCATTTTCTAGTTCACCAAACACGCTTTTCTCAGCGGAGATACGCGATGCCCTATCCAATTGAATTATAGATTCGCAATGAGCTTCAAGAAGTGTATATGAACTTGAGAACTTTGATTATAGAAAAATGGTTGTACCTTTTTGTGATGTGGGTCTCTGGAGAAAGCGAAGACCTACGAGAGTCTTTAGGTCTTTGATTAACAGACACTTTGTTGCGACCTGTGTCAATCCATCAGCTCTTAAATGAGACGCCTTGATTGGAGAAGGTTGCCCGACATCCTTTTAAATTTATATTCACTATATGAGAAAATATTCCATTGAGATAGTCGATTTAAGATAGTCTTCATTGGCTCTTTACTTTAAGATTAGGAAATGTCACTAATTCGACGAAATATTCCACAAGCGTTAACAAAATATTTGTTGTTATCTTGCGATTTTAGTGGTAAGATTATTATCAATTTAAAAGCTTTCTTATTCGATAAGAATAAATTTAGTCTGATACTTTGATACCTAAGAGTAAATTAGGGAAGATCCAACTCGGACGTTATGTATTTTTGCTAATTAGCGCTGACGTGATAGAAAAGAAAAATAATTTGTTTTTGTGATGCTAATAATACTGTGCGCTAGAAAAGAGAGAGCAGATTTCAAATGAACCTTTTTCAAATTCAGCTTTTGATGCTGGCTGTAACGGTTCTTCTCGTCTAAGCCTCCTCCAACTCCTTCAGTTGCGATTTCTTGTGACTTTCGAAGAAAAGTATAAGAAAGGCAGAATAAAAATGTTGTTTTCTCAGGGTATTGTTTTCCCTAGATTCTTTTGCAGTAGGGATCTCACACCATAAAACTATAGTGACTAAGCGTGTTTGAAAATAGTATATGTAGCCTTTAGTAGTCTTGTGACAGCCTTGCCAATTACTAATTGCTCTCCAGTTGCTCTTAAGCAGAAGATTGCTTTGCAGCGCATGACTTCGGCTCCTGATTAGAACACAAGCATAAAAAACCCTGCTTTTTGCCATTACTTTCTTACAATATCTTCATGTGTGGAGAGTATCAATGAACACTAATAAAGTAGAGAGCTATTACAAATAATCTTTAATTGGCGTAAATAAAGTTTGATAAAAGAAAAGGCAAAAGCGCTGATACACTTCTTTTTTTCTTCTTCTCTTCTTTTCGGATCCAATTATTCAAACATTGGCAGGCTGTGTAGTACATGAAAGAATTTCCTACAAATTTCATTAGATCCATCAGCTAAGGAATTCCCACACACTGTTCAACTGCACCATATAAAAGGAAATAACCAAACTTTTCCCTAGTTTTCTACCGCTTTCTGATTATCAAAACATTGTAAGAGCTTTCAAGGATATTTATCACAATTTCTACAGATATCAACTCCAAAGAGGGATTTGAAGAAGAAACAATTCAGCTTCAGTATTATATTATATGATATTTTTTTCGAATCAGCACAACGGCTCTTAAGTGTACTTTATAGGCTTGATAGACATATGACAAAATTATTCTTTGCCAGTAGTATTTAGAGTCATTCTCTATAGAATGACTAAGGCACTGAAATGGTACTATAGCTTGGGGCTCCGCTACCTTGGTCAATGTAAAATAGATACACACACTGGCATAGAACCCTCGAGGAATACATCACTTTACAAAAATTTGTCACCACAGTCAATGATAGCGACATGATAACGGTGCTAAATCAAGTTCATGCATTTTTTCCATACTTCTCGCCCGCAAGGACATGCACAGCATATTCCAACAACTACACTGAATGATAAAAGAGCTGCGTTACTAGCTCTCATCTCCTACCAAGAGGTTTCTGTGGAGAGTACGTGAATTTTCCTAGGGATGTGAGAGGATAGCGTATAAGTCAGAGAGACACATCAAGGCACTTGAATGGGAAAGCTATAGACGAGAAGACATTCGTAGACAAATGACTTAAAGTGTAATTGTTGACACAATGAGTCTCAGCGCAAGTCTATCAATTCTATGCAATATAGCGAGGACAGCATGAATTTTGTTCAATATAGTGACCACATTTTTCTTAACGAGAATAAGGGCTGAGTATTGCGCTCAAACTGAGAACATACAGTATGATATCAAAAAGATCTATAGTCCTCTTCCATAAATGAATATGAACTCCTATACATTTGTTACGTCAATCTATTAGAGAAAGTGTGATAATTCTATTTTAAGAGCTTTTAATGTGGTTAGTAATCAAAGAAGAACAGAAAGCGACAAAAATCAAACATGACATTTTCTTATAAGTGCATACAGGTAAGATAGCTTTTTCTTATAGGAGCCTGAGAATAATGTTCAACTTCGGGTCAAATTTGAAAAACTTGCGGGATAGTTCTAAGCGATGCCACAAGCGCCATCGTCTGGCTGATTCCGTGGCTAGGTGATTTTCTTTTCCATATAGGAGCGATTGCCTGTGGTGAAGTTTGGCAAACCTGGTATGGCTGTTAAATTTGGGGATATACCTGCTGTACAGCATGTAAAAGATAAAAAGGTCTGGAAACTGGACCACATCTCCGGCGTAGGATATCATCAAGTCCAGTGTCAGGTTGCAAAGGACGCTATGGATATCGGTCAAAAATGACACGTCAACTACTCACCATGGAGATCGTCTCGTGTTTTGCACCTACAGTGCCAGGAGAGTCTCCACCAACGTCAATCTTCACGCGCTTCTCAAAACTGTAGGGCGGAGAAATTACTACGCACTCGCCTTGCAGGAAGACGAAGTCCAGGGAGACAGACGTGAGGCCTCAACTCTCTCACAACGAATGATGAGTGATGGCACAGCCATCATTCGTGGTGAGGAAGTTTTATTACGGAACATAGACGTTGGATTTGTCATACACCCACCTGTTGTCCAGCTTTTCGATTCGCATGAGATCCAATCACCTCGCCTGCCTATCCTTCGACTCCGTCCTTTGCGTCAGAAAACTATTTATCATCAACTGCTATTCACCATCTTCAGCAGCTGATTTCAGAGCTTTATGTTTTTGTGGGAATTTGAAGGATGTCATCCGCAAAGAGTATTATTTTCATAAATTCGTTGTGGGTGACTTCAATGCAAAGATTGGGATTCCAAAGAGGGGGAGTATAGGGCCTTAAATATCAATCAGGACTCCGCGAACAATGCTAATTATCTTGTTGGGCTCTCCGCCGCACGACTCCTTCATAACAACTGTCGCGCAACGGTACGACTCATGCGGAGATCAACCGCATTCTTACCAACCGAAGGTGGTGCTAACTGGACGTTTTGGCTATACCATCCTTAGCAGTGGTACAGTTCAGCGTCTGCTAACCACTGACGCAGTACAGCTTTGCAAGAAGAACTTCGAAAGTACAGGCAATCGATTTTGGAAACAGCGCAAAGAGGGAATGCCTGAAAAAGTACTGTCGGGACCTTCTCTTCCGTCAAAAACATTAAAACATGGGATTTGCATATCTTTCAGATAAAAGACGGAATCAATTGTGAAGACTTTTCCCACCATCCCCTCTGTTCATCAATCCCCGTGCTCAACCACATTATCTTACTGGAGATGTACCAAAACGAATACTGCTTGTAGTACGCATCGCAATTCAGACCATGAAGGCAGCCACGCGTCCGGGACTGAAGCATATTTCGGATCTTCGAGTCGGAGGACATTGCCGCACGGAATACTTGCGATGCATCTTTGAAAGAAAAGGATCCCCAACCAGTGCAGAACCTCCCGAACAGTTCTTCTCCACAAGGAGGGTGATAGGGAAGATCGTCAGAACCGTCCAGTATGCTTGTTGAGCGTGCTTCACAAGCAACCAAGGGGTGGATTTGTTGAACTCTTCGTACGTAAGAAGGTTGGCCGATTGCGCAGGAATTGCACTGCCAAATAACACTTCTCCATCGCCACCTTAGCCTATCAGTTGCGAAGAGAGTCCCACGAGGTGACTCCATGTCACCTAGCTGTTTAGCGCCGCATATCAACGGGTGACGAACTTACTGGATTGCATCAAGAGAGATATACCATTTATGGGAGAAACCTCTCAAACCTTCATTTTGAGGAAGACGTTCTCTTCTCGAGGAATATTACTGAAGCAGGGACGATGTTGAAGAACTAGACGAAATTGGGAAGCGGATAGAACTGTTAATTAATCGGAAGAAGACTAAGTTCAAAACTTCTTAACTCAAACTCAGTCTTTTGCGAGGATCAAGAATTAAAATTAAAAGGCCATCCAGTTGCGGAGACGTCTTTTTACGTACACCTCGAGTGCTCGATAAGCATGGAAAACGA